TACACGTTTCGTCGGGAGACAGCGCGCGTACCGGTATTTGGTTGAAATTAGGTTGGTAATGCATCAATAGTCGGTCTCGGTAGCTCTTAACGCCGTAAAGTTGTTTGATGGCACCGCTATCACCCCTAACAGTTCCTAACAGTCCAACGCACAGCTCACGTTGCGCCCCGGAGTCTAACATTGCAACCGTGAGTTATTCACTTAATGCGGCCATTACGCGCTCCTCGATGGCGCTTCATCCTGATTTACTTGACAAGCATTTATTGCTTCTATCTCGGCTAGTGATATTAAACCCTCTTGCTCGCATTTCCTACCTACGTACCCTACACGTTCTGGTATTGGCTCGAAAAGTATACTTACGATGATTTTCGTGCCTTAGCCCTTCTACTTAACTTTAAAGTAAGCTCGTTTAAATTCTAATCGCCCGTTTAATTTCGGTGTCTTCATCTTCAGCAATTTAGTTCACGAGACTTGGTAAGGGTAGGTAATGGACGCAGACAGAGGGGAGCAAAATTTCAAGTATATTCAGATTTTAAATTTTTATATATAAAATAATTATCAGCAGGTATAATTTAACATTTTTTATGGAAAGGTAGAATTTCTAAAAAGTTAGTAAAAGTTAGTAAAAAATTATTCAGAAAGACGTGTGTTATACGTGAGATATGTTAAAATTGAGATCACTGAAATAGTGTGCTCTATTCGGTATATTCAGTGATGTTTATAAATTAATAAATAATATTATACACTTTAATGTATATTGACTAATACATTCTGTCATTGCATGCACATTAAGTACTACTAATATGACAATTCAGAAACAGGGCAGATGTATCCTTACAGAGTGTAATTGCAGAGTGTGTTGTAATTATCTTTTGCACTTAAAGACTGCCTTACACAAAATCTTAAGACCAAAATTCGGCGATAATGCAAATATCTTGACACATTACTAAACTGTCAATGCTTAAACAATTGCAACCTTATGTTATTTAAAATCCCCACAATTACATGACTTGAATAACCCGACTACATGACTATATCCGGCGGAGCTGTTAAAAGACGCATTTAGCGAAAAGTAGAAACCGTATAAATTTTGAAAACGGGCCTACAGATTTCCGTTGTATACGGAACTTTTGATGAAAGCTTTGCTAGCGATGCTTGAAACTCTGAGCGTAGATTTTAGCCGGTGGTTGGCAGTTCAACCATCCTTTGCAACGTGTAGCATCCTCTCGTAGCGCCTCGGTTGAAACCTCGTAAACCCGGGAACGACCAATTAAACGAAACGAGCAGCGCACTGATGCACTCTCTGGCTGGTTGCCTGCCTGCCGGCATTACCTACAGGTTATACGACTCACGGAATTACCCTCAAATTACACAGTTGGTGCCGATGTGTGTACTTCCCCCTCGCGCTGTTCTGTATACTTACGGTTGGATAACAACCGGTCTGCTAGCAACATCGCTACGATCGAGAAAACGCTCTTTCCTCTCACTATCAGACTCCAACAGCTCAAAACACCCGCCAACGACGATTCTAACGTCCCTAGCTAAGCTATTCTTACTTGCTCCCTTGTTCGATCGACTGGTCTCCAAGAAAGTGACGGTTATGGAAAGTATTCGCGCTTCGATTTGACTTAACCATGTCGAACCGTTCCGAGAACCTATAAACTCTGTACTCGCTCGTTTCAACTCCTTTTTAACTGGCAGACCTTCTTTGTTAGCACCGACTCTGTACGCAAACCGGGACAAACGAGCATGCTGAGAGACTTAGTATGTGCACCAGAAAGGATTATAGAGTATGTGCTCAGGTGATAGTACATCGCGGTTTCTAGCCGGATGGATGTTTATGTAACGTATCATTATTCTACTCGATTTATAGCCTCAGAATAAAAATTTATGCAAAGCATTTTAAATACTGAAGCTTCATACGGGTGCTAGGCGGGATGTTCATGCGGGACCGGTTGAATGATTGCTGAGGGTTTTACAATAAAACTATACAACACAACTTCTTGAATATCGTTTATTCTTCAAGTAGTATTTTATTCTTAAAATAATGTTTATATAATAATATAATTACTATCGTTGAACGACAATTTTACAAATCACTAGTCCCTTCTTACAAAGAGACAGAATTTCTCAGTTTGTCCGCCAGAGGTCCAAATCTTCCTAACACAAGAATTTTAATTTGCAGAGAATGTTGAAAATTGATGTAACGAAAAAATTCAATGGAAAGAAAAGGCGTTAAACGTTCGATTGATTCCCTTATACATACAAGAGGGGAAAGAAGTCCTCCGGTGGTTTCTTTGTCCATATGAATTTCCGATTCAACGAAGCGCCGGGTCTCTCGAAAACGTTACAGCAGAAACATCCACGTCGTTCTCGTCGAATACATTAGTGATCCCTAGCAGGCGACGCGGCGTAATGAATGTTTCCGGTGACAGCCGACAGCGGAGGATGCCTTCCGCGACAAACAATGCGGTTCTCTGTTCATCGAAACCGCTTCCACCCCTCTTCCGTGTCTCTTTCCTTTGCTTTCTGTGCCGCCAAAAGAATTCGTCGCCACCCTGTGCGGTTTAAATTCATGTGGTGTTTCTGCGGCCTCCGCTTCATTCTAACTTTAATTGACTGATATCCTACGGACCGAGAATCTTCAAATAATCGTGAAAAAACCACGACTGCAACAGCATTTTCCAATATCCTTCTAACAGAATTTCGTACACTGATTACGGATTCGGATACCGATTTCCTATATGATCGTTGACAGAATTGATTTCGAGAAAATATGTGTACCTTTTGCGGGGATGTGATACGAACAATAATGTCTGAAACGTGTGAAATGAAATTAAAATTAAAATATGCTTAATGGAATGTGGGATAAGTGTTTATATTTATTTATAGTAGATCGAGCTTTTACTCCTTGACATAGTTTGTCGAGTCTAACTCACGCAGTTGCAGGGTGATAAATCTTACTCGAGTTTTAAACACGCTACTATTTGAAGTTTCAGTACAATTATAATTTGCATAGACAAGGATCTGAATACAAAACACACATTTCAACTTACTTTATTCACTTTAATATTTCTGTCAAAGGTAAAACCTCATATTACTTTACAATTTTGACTGCGCCAAAAAAGAATGTTAAATCGAAAGTTCTGTAGAGAGCACATTTATGCAGTATATGTATACTTTTATATATTTTCATGGACTTGTATAAATGTGACTACTGTGTTGAATTTTTGTGATATGTCAAGAAATGTGAGGGGTATTTGTACCTTCTCTGTAGGGCAAAAGATTCGCTGAACGATTACAAGATATCTAATACCTGACTGTGGTCACGGACCGACGTAGGAATAATGCGAGCGATGCAAACAGGAGAAACTGCTGGGAATGTTGCAAAATGCAGTCGAATCGAATCTGAGCGCGACGAGGGTATGGAATTCTCGCGGACCGGCTACAGATATAACCGGTAACAATGGAAATGGACTCGCTGGGCATCGATGGTCCCCACAAGTGGTTGAGCATTCCAACATCGAATCGTTGTTGGAGTTCGAAATGTGAAGGTACACGTATTGTGGAACGAAGACCACAAGTGCAGTTTCGCGCCCCGTTTCTCGTGTGCATGCATACCGCACTGCCAACAGATCGGCTAATTTTCAACGACGATATGTTAAGACCCCCTACAATGTAATGGATGCAAATCCTCCGAATACGATATCTATCTTTCGGTCTTTCGGTTACGAAATGTACCATTGCTGATCTTCAGCCTTTCGATGTACCGCTGTGGTTTCCGTTACAATGCGAACAACCCGAACACTTGAGTACTGATAATGTCATCTGCTCGATTTTCTGATGCTGCAAGAATACCTTTCTTGTTTAATATGCAAAATAATGTAAAATTATTTTTACCTTCGAATGGCAACTTTCATTGCCAGGTCTACTGAAAAGAATCTTGATGTGATTGATATAGTATCATTTTGAAAAGTGGATTCATTTAATGTTTTGTTTTTAATAAACACCTTCTTATAGATTTTAAGATACATGATTTTAGAACGTGGAGATCTTGAAAACATAGGTAACTTGTATTATAGGAATCTTGATAGGGATCCTGTAGTGACTTTGACATGAAGATTTATATAACTAGAGAGTCTACGATTTAGATACTTGTCCGTTTAGGATTTTGAGCATACAATAATTTAGTCTTGACTGTACCAGAAGTATTAACGAATAAATCGACCATTTCATTCACAATGAGTCATTAACGTCATCCAAAAGCGAACGATCAATTGAAACGTATGCTAGCGTCATCCAAGAATACTGGTGCAAGAGGTTAATTATGGCGTTAGCGTTGAAACCTGGCTGCTGTTCAAATTGCTGGCCAGCAAAAGTTGCGTAGATATAGCCGAAGGAGAACCGGTCGAAAAGTCAGGAAAGAAAAACGATCCTTCCATTGTCCATTACACGATCCGCGTCTAGAGCCTCGATTCCGCCACGAATACCTCGAGATTCATGCCATCCCCATGCTTGGATCATGTAGCGAAGGCCTTTAGAGACTCCGTAGAGTAGAGAGTCGTTGATCAGAGGCGAGGTTATCTCTTGTCTCTGCATGAGGCGGCCAAATGAAAGGCACCGACAACGTCCAGCAGCGGACCATACACCAACTCGTGGCTTGAGTAAATAAGCGGTACCCTGCTCCATCTTCTTTCTCTCCCTATATTATAGGGACCCTATATGCTTACTATCTCGTTGCCTTGCTTTCGAGTGTTATACCAGGGATCCGTGGATTTTATCTACGTGTTCTTTCGGATACAGGTTGTTTCTGATCTGATGTACAACCGAAACACGGAGGAATACGTGGTAAAGACGGAAAATAATACAATTTTTATTATGCTACTTTTTTGCAAAATGAACTTGGAGTTTTGAAGTATTTGTGTAAAAATTTGTTCACGGTGCAAAAAATGACAAGAACTTTTTTATTAATTTTATTGAATAAGTCTAGTCATTAATATCTTTATCAGTTATTAATACAGCTGTAATTTATGAACAGTTATTAATACTGTTTTAGTTTGTTAGCGCTCATTCTTCGTAACATTACTTATGTACACTGATGTTCGGGTACATGAACACTGTTTAAGACCACGTGGGGCCATATATCTGGAGGGAAGCGTTTCGAAAAATTGACCGATGCGATTTAACTCCAACTGTTTTCGTTGCTCCATTCTTATCGAAATATTATTCCTAGAACATGACTGTAAGAATAACTCCTTAATTAGCGACCAAACTTGGATATTATTGAAATAAAATATTTGAAAAATGATTACTTAAATTTAAATAAAAATAGAACTAACTTGTCCTGTTTTCAATTGTACTAAATCGATATCCCCTACACATGAAAGACATTTTTAAGAGTTTGAGATATAATTGAACATCGCACTATTCAAAAATGAATTAACTGTTTAAAAGCGAATAAAAGAGCATGAAATAATGTAATAAATAAAATGTTACGTGTACATTAGCATGAGCCCAATATATGAAATACGGAATACCGCGGCATGTGTAATAAAAGTCTCTAAAATAAAGTAGCTATCTGGCCAGCAGATAAGCCGGTAATATGTTTCTGAGTAAACGGTCAGATTCTGATAAATACAAGTTATGCGCTTACGTGCAATGTCTTTTCGGTCGTCCAATAAATTAAAGCATTCCTCTTCTCTATCCCTTCGTTTCTCTTCTGTCCGCCATAAACGAAAACCCAGAGGCCGTGAACAGGGTGTTAGTATGATTATAATTTATTCTTGATTAGCGTTAATCCTAACCCTCTCTCTTCTTCTCGCAACATCAACTTCTTTTTATTGGGTCATTCGTTTGACAGTAATTTACGCTTATGATTGTAATGTCGACAGATTTATCGAACGTTGCCATGAAAATCTGAAACATGAAATAGAACGGTACATAAATTCAATTAAGGACAGCGTGAAAGTATCTTTCTGGATAGAATTCTCGTAGAAAGTGTACAATTTTGTCGACTGTTGTGCCACTTCTGTTTCTTTTATCTGCTTTGTGATTATAGTAATTTCGTGTTGAGTCACAATTTAATGGTTCGTGGCTGTAAATTGCTTTCGACGCAAAATTAATTAATTACATGCTCTTTACATTGTAAATAATAGTTATCATTTTTGTAGGACAACTTAATATATTTTCAATCATAGGATGTTCATTTATTCAGCTGTTTTAATTTTGTACGATTTTAATTTGATACGTAATATCGTTTTTATTAATATAAGAATTGTGAGTTACGCTGTAAAGCTTATTGGTTATAATACAATATTATAAATAATACATAAATGTAAAATTAAATTAATTATAAATATTAGGACTTTTTGATGAACGAAAATGAATAGTGAGAGAAGAAAACATCCGCAAATAAATCTTACAAAATATACAAGAATTAGAAATATATATTTAACTGAAAAAACTGAAAATTGAAAGGATCAACAATATTACAAGATAAATTAAGTTACATTAATTTTTATCTTTATACGATGAGTACTATAATATTTCGATTAACCGCCATTATACAATCATTAGATATTTTTTGCTAAGTTAACGTTATCTGTAACGAAATATTAATTGCGGTTGAGAAAAAAATAAGCATTAATTTCATCCCGTTAAACCGTCATCGGATTTGATTAATGAATTCCCCGCCATTATCGAACAGTGATGGATAAAGGAGATATCGCGAATATAAATAATTAATGAATTTATTTACTGCTTAATGCTCGCGAAAAAAAAACTCTCTTGGTAAATACTACAATTTATGTCAAACCGTAGTGCGCGTTAACATTTATTTTATAGTCACAGTTCAAAGCAATATCTTCTGTCAGCATAACATTTTCTCTATTTTATTAGAAGTATAAACGGTAAATCAAGATAAGTACAATTATTTTGTAGATTCAGGCGATAAAAGAACTCGTTTTTCAAGGTGAAAACAGTTTATACATTTCCATAGCAGGTTCGATCGTGTACAAAAAGATTAAAAAATTATGATAGTGTTTATCGCGCATGAAATAGCTGCAATATGTAACAATATACATATATGTTGCAAAATCTTGATAAACAAATAATTCATTTTATCAGTGATAATGTTACATTTTCTACCGTGTTCATAATTTTAATCAATACTTATATTGACGGAATTATAAATACCATTATTATTAACAATTTCTTTTGCATCCGAATAATCCTTGCAATTGTTCGAATGTTTGCTGCGTATAATCTGTACGATCAGAATAGAATAATTTCGTTGGTTGATAAAATTCTGAAGACGTTTATTCGAGAAGAAATCAGGCTTCCAACACAAACTCATAAAGCGTTCATCAATTATCGTCGTATTACATAAATTACATCGCATCAATTTTCGTTCGTGCTGTTCGTGACCTGCTATTTTCTTGACAGCTTAAAGTTTGTCAGTTTCATGGCGTTAATCGAAATACAACCGTACAGTCTCGTACGTGTGTAGCTTTCCAAGAGAGATACGGGTATTCCGCATGTATCTGGACCGAAGGCGAAACGACATTAGCCGCTGTTATCCGTTCAAACAAAATGTCAAAGTGCCAAATGATAATGCAGAGAAGATAAATCAAGCATGCTGAAAAGATGACGGTGATAAATGTAAACCCGTCTGTCAGTCGGCCCCGGAGATAGTTACCGAGATACACGACGAGTCGTGACTGATGGCGATGTCGTGAGATGTGGTATCATAATAATTCATAAAGGCCGAGGCCAGAGGCTTAATCGTTGATTAATGAAAGGACAGACTTGTCCCGATCTCCTTCTTCCTTTTTCTCGTTCCACTGTTATTTCTTGCTCTTTTTCTACCGCTTCGCCGCTGCTGCTGTTTCATCTTCTTCTTTCCCATCCTTTCTCTCTTCTTCTTTTTCTTCTTCGGTGATGGTGCTGCCGCCTGACGTATGTATATGTACCAACGGAGCGAGACGAGTAATCCGACATGTGTTCGTTTGGGCGATAGAACCAATTAATGTTGCGGCGGCCACGTTGTCCCGTCGAGTCCATAACTCACCGAGCAACCTCCTTCCACGGGATTCTCCAATACGGCTTTGAATCTACGCTGACACACGCAAGTGTTCGAACAGCCAGCACGTTCACGGCTAAATTATTAAGCCATTTCATAGTTGATGTCCTTTTCTACCAGTCAATCAAACCGGATGAAAGAATCAATAATGTGCGTTACTTTTGATCGGAGAACAGTGTAATATCGAACACGATGCTCTTTTGTAGGTAGAAAACATTTCCCAAAGTGTCCCTTGGGACAATTATGACCTGCGAATATTACAAATACAATCTGCAATATTAGCACGATTTTGAATTTGTAGAAGTAATTTACATTTTGACAATTACAAAAAATTAAATTTTGTTGTGTTACGATGAAGAATTATTTAGTTAAAGAAGTACTATATGTCATATATCTTATTATTATATAGATATTATATATTTTGTTATTGTACAGATTGCGTACAGTATAGATTGTATACAGTTTTGTCCGGATATATGGCCACGAATGTGTCCGCTTATATGGACTCGAGTTAAAAATAATTCTTAGAACCACTAACTTCAATTAAACTTTATAGTAATTAAGTTATTAATCATTCTTTATTAGAAATTATTTTGTTACTTCTGTTTAATTATTTTAGAAATGTACTAATAAACAGCATGTACTAAAATGTAATTGTTTTTATAAATAAAGAATAGGTAATGTTATAAACTTAGAATAAATCTTCTCCTCATAACTTTTTATAGATTTCAACATATTTTCCTATAACACTTTGTCATCCACCAAATATTTTGGGATTTACAATTTTGTCCAACTAGCAAAAATTAAAAAGAATCTTGGGAATTCGTGGTTTAAGGTAAAAACGCTATTCGCTATAATTCTTCGAATTTATCGCGCATCCATGTTTGCGTGAATTTTTTATTATAAAATAGAGTCTGATAGGGAAACTGTTTTGTTAAAAATACACATAAAATGAATAAACGTGTCATTTCGTTACTGCAAAGTAAAATAAAGGATTCTTCAAATTGACAGAGAGACAAAAATTATACAATACAAATACACGAATAACATCTTTCCCAAATATTAGTCATATAAGAATTTGCCTTAAAGGAAAATTTTAAATATCTGTAAAACTTGTATATTACATTAGTAAACAAATATACATAAATAAATTTACTAATAATTTCTGAAAAATAGTTGAAAGAATAGTTGTTCCTAAATTGTACATAAACGCTGATACACTTGAAATTTTACTGTATAACTATATAATTGTGCAACTGTATAATATTATAACTGTTATAACTGTATAACTGTAACTGTATAACTATAATTTTACAGTATACCATATTTACCATATAATTACCATGTAAGTGTATTATTTACATACTTAAAACCTATCGTTTGCAATAATTATAATCTTGTAAAAGAACCGTGGTAAAGAGCGATTACACCTTTATCGGCTACACAAGAACACACGTATTTACCGCCATCTGAAGTTATTTTCAATCAACTTACATGTTAAGTTCATTTAACTTTGAGTAAATTACAGCTAATATTAGTCTATACACATTAAATTGCAATTGACTACTAATTTGAAGATTTCTTAATAAACTACTAATATCTGATACAAAATTTCATTAAATAAACTTCTCTTTGGATGCACAATATTTTTATTCTTAGTTGCAACGGTGACTTCCCACGGTACAATATGGCTGAAAGTGGATGACCTTTTTTTGATCGTTTAACACTACTTTCTTACTATAAACTTACTGTTTATGCTGTAATAGCATCTTGATTAAGCTGTAATAAACCTTGATTGGATTGCGATTACCTACGATCTTAATCAACATCAGAGTTTTCGATTAACCACAGTTTTGTCCGACCTCCCTTTATAGATATCTTATAAGTCTTTCTGTAAATGTCTCCTCTTCAGTTCGTTCGATTTCAAGCTCAAATAACCGATTCCGATTTATGAAACTATGAAAACCGTTAATCGAGCTATTGTATTCGCAAATAGTGTGATATTAAAAGATTTCTTGTAACCGAACACACGGAGTTGTTTACTCGATGTTGAAGCGAAGGAGGAATGTTCTTTTTTCAGTCCTTTTACAACTTGTAAAGTACGTACTATTCATTTACAATAATTACACGTGTTTATGCCAAACATAAATTGTAACTTTTTTCCAGCTTACGTAAAACGAAGTGATCATGAAAACAGATAAGTACATTCAGTGATATTTTATGCAATAACGAGATTTCTTAATTAACGGAATAATACGTTAATTGGAATTAATTGACCGGTGCTTTCGTAGAAGTAACTGTACTCAAATCCTGTTTCAAAGAAATGCCGCTGCCCATTACACGAATAATTATCCATACCAGATGCATTAAACTATGCACATTGTTTCATATTTATTAACGCCTAAATGACTTGCTTAGCATTCCTTCACTGGAAATTCAAGAATTTCTCTAGTCTTATATTCTTTACATATCTCGTATCAGCGCGAATTGATTTAATTAAATATCCTTATTCGTTACGCTTAGTTGGTGATTAGAACCGGAATCCATTTTTTTTCACTTACATATCGGACTATCGAAAAATCAACGTATCTATCAATAACCCGAAGACAAGATTTATGGAACGCGTACCTCGTATTTTTATCGATTTACGTGTGCTACATAATGCTATGTGTTTTGTAAGATTAAAAAGATATTGACAGTAAAATTTCTGCGTTTTATATTGCGGTATAATGTTCACTTGATTAGATAAAACGAGTTAAGCGATCTGTTATAGTGTCGTACAAATGTGTCGAAAGTCAATCCTGAAAATATTAAGAATTTAAAGGCAAGAGACTTCACAGTTATGATATACAAAAGGTTTCGAAAAACTGCAAAATTTTGTGAGTATACGAATCATTTCACACAAAGACTAATATCTAAATCGTAAAGATACTTTCAAGACACAAAAATACTAAAGTAATATTTAAATCATAAAGATATGACAGATAGATATACGGACATAAAGATACCAAAATGGTATCTTAGAGATACAATAAAAACATAAAGGTAAGATCTAAATCGCGAAGACACTATAAAAACATAAATATACTATGAAGATAATCCATTTAAATCTTTTGCAATGTTAATGATACAAATATTTTATCTGATGTGAAATTTCAATGCCATCAGAACAGACTGCAAGGTATATTTTTGCTCAAAGAAAATCTTGGAAGAATTTTCAAAGTTAATGAAATTTTCTGCGTGTAAGTATGTACAAGGTGTTAATGATAATGGACCGGTGTTTCTTCGTATTTAATAAAAAAGAAGGAAAGAGGAAATGTAGTGTAATTTATTAGCAACATCTATATGGATTTATCATTTACATTATTTACTGATGAATGGAGATTTTTTAAATGTAATTTTATGTTTTAAATGTAATGTTCGTAAATAATGTATTTTTTAATGTTATACAAAGTGTACATAACAAAAGTTTATTTGTTTGTATGTTTGCGATATTTAAAGCCAAGGACTGAAACGAAAGAAACAAATTGAACATTTTGTAATGTTGTGTTCATTAGAATAAATATAAGTAGTTTACTGCTAATTGGTACTTGCTTTTTGTACGAACCTGTATATAATAAGCGTTCATCTAATCTGTGAAATGTTTTCTTATCTGGTAGACGTCTATGAGAAAACGATTCGCGTATAAACATCTAGCTTTGACTGAATTAGATTCAACAAGGCCATACATTAAGTGTATTTTCTTGATACGAATAATTATTCATTCTTGTTTACTTAATTACGCGCTTCTGACTTCTAACACACAGCGAGTTAGGGAATCGTGACGTACTTCTAGCAGGAGAACTAAACGTACAAATAGAATTCTGAAGTAATATATGACTGGTTTAGAGATTTGGAAGTTTAAGTACCAATATTTAAAATTTTTCAAATTTTCAAATTTTACGCTCGATTGTATATTTACAAATTTTGTCGTTTTTATACTTGGTAATTTGAGAATTTGGAAATTTGGTAATTTGGGAATTTTGAAAATTTGGATGTTTGAAAATTTGGATATTTGAGAATTTGAATATTTCGGAATTTGGATATTTAGAAATTTATATATTTGCGAATTTGAACATTTAGGTATTTGGACATTTGGCAATTTATTACTCTATTTGTCAATAAAAAGTGATTTCAAATGCTTTTTATCACTACAGGTACACAATTACAATTTTTTGACTATTATTTTTCAAAATAGAAGAAAATAAAGCACTAATCAAATCAGATCATATTTAATGCTTAACAAACATAATTCTACATAAATAAAGCCATTAGAAGTTACTATACTTCTTCCACAGCATTACAAATACTAGTTCTCAATACTTTTTCGCGCCAGTGATTCACTCAAACCCATCACTAATCTACCACACCATTCAATAATATAGAAAGTAATATCGGTTTTTACTTCGCAAACCAGCGTCAGCTGTACTCAATGCATGTGTAATACCTTTACAATCATATTCACGTCAATAAATTCCAATTAACAAAATAAGAAAAACAAGTTCCTTTTATTTCCACATAAATCATGCCACAACTATTTTCCTACATTTTTCCTCCGAAATTTCCGACTTATCTTCATTCTTTCGATATGAATACACAAACCACAGATTCACCTAAATTCCGCGCCATGAATCATGATTTATTATCAGCTAATCACGAATTTACGTATCCATGCGACCGAAACAATTCTGGTGCTCCACGCTCTGATTAATGTGGATGAACCGGAATTTATGGACAACAATTGCGATTAAACTCCAAGGTTTTACTCGAGCAAATCTTTTCGGCAGAAGTACGTTTAACGTTTTCTTGAAAATATACAGGGTGTTACCTGTAGCGCTACTCACGATTTTTCTCCCACTTGCAGCCACCTTACGAAAAAAAGTTTAGAACAATATTTGCAGGGTATGAAGTGCACAACAGATTTCCATCTTTGCACAATACATTTCCACTTCTGTAAATCGAGTAATATGTTAATAAAAGTATCATGTAACACGTGTTTTGAATTCGTCTCGATGTCCTCTAAAGCTATGAATAAAAAAAATGTATGTTCCTATTTAAAAAACCCAAGGTGACCTTGACTTTGCCAAGAGAACAGACTATTTTCAAAATTTGCTTTACTAATATCTATTGTGCACTTCACACCCTGCAGATATTGTTGTAAACTTTTTTTCGTAAGGTGGCTACAAGTGGGAGAAAAATCGTGAGTAGTATTAAAGGTAATACCTTGTATACCGTGGGTTAGGAAACGATTCGAACTTTCAAAGTATCAGCACATACCTAAGGATATAGATAGGGAGATTATAGGTAGAAAGAGAAAGATAGAAGAAGGGGAAGCGAGTAAAACGCAGGGCTGCGTGCCTGCCAGTAATCACGCGTCGGGATAAAGTTATTCCGGGGCATAAATAACCGACATGTCTGGAATAAGGCATTAATTTATGTTATTTATCGCCCATTACGCAGCAAAGAAACATTCG